GTGGGAGGACATCAGGGCAGCAAGTCTCTCCACTTCCTTCCCCGCCTCCCCCGGCCTTTACTCTTCATGCTACTGGCAGTGTGCCATGCCACCCTTGTAGTCATTGAGTGTCCCAATGATGAAAGCAGCAATGAGCCTCATTGACCCACTCTGCCCTCCTATTCTTGGTCCCATGCACTGTGCTGCGGAGGCTAGTTTGGCCATGCTGTAGCCCTGTGCCCCTCTGTGGGCACCCAAATCTTGGGGGTGGGGTGGAATAGGCTTGAGACACTGCCTGTGGTGCTCGATCCCTCCCTGGGAGTGCACACAATGGTAGGGAGCTGGCCGCCCTACCTTCCCCCTCTGGACAAGCAACCCATGGCTGTGTGCCACTCCCCAGCTGGGCCCTGTGGCCAGGCATTCCCTCCCCAGACCTGGCCCCCATGCACTGCCCCAGCTGGGCAGCATCCCCAGCCCCACTCCCAACCCTAGCTGCCAGTCATTGAGCACTCCCTCCCTCACCATGGGAGCTTGACACAAACTACTGCCACTATCTCAACCTGCCCCCACATGTCACCTATGCCCCCTCTATCACCCAACTTACCTGCAGGCATCTGGGGAGCTCCTCTCCATCATGCTGCCTGGGGCTGTATTGCTGGCCATAGATGTTAGGGGTCGGAAGGAACCTCAATAGATCATCGAGTCCGACCCCCTGCATAGGCAGGACAGAGTGCTAGGTCTAGATGACCCCATCTAGATGCTTATCTAACCTCCTCTTAAAGACCCCCAGGGTAGGGGAGAGCACCACCTCCCTTGGGAGCCCATTCCAGACCTTGGCCACTCGAACTGTGAAGAAGTTCTTCCTAATGTCCAGTCTAAATCTGCTCTCTGCTAGCTTGTGGCCATTATTTCTTGTAACCCCCAGGGGCGCCTTGGTGAGTAAAGCCTCACCAATTCCCTTCTGTGCCCCCATGATGAACTTATAGGCAGCCACAAGGTCGCCTCTCAACCTTCTCTTGTGGAGGCTGAAAAGGTCCAGGTTCTCTAGTCTCTCCTCGTAGGGCTTGGTCTGCAAGCCCTTAACCATGCGAGTGGCCCTTCTCTGGACTCTCTCCAG